ACCAAAGCTTGTTCCTTTACAAGCCTTTTCTCCACCTCCTGAATTTCTTTTTTCAGGATTTTATTTCTGTGCCTTAGATTCTTTTTCTCTCCTTTCAGTGAGTCATAAATTGCCTTTGTAACAGTTTTGTTTTCTATCTCCTCACTGCACTGTTGGATTTCTTGATGGAGTTCATCGTTGCGTTGTCTTAAGGCTCCTATCTCCTCTCTCAGCGGACCACACTTGCCTTCATATTCTTTCATACCTCGAAACTTTGAGTGGAGCGTTGCAAGTGTTTTAAGAAGCTCATTTTGTTTTGCAGAGACAACTTTTTCTTCTGCTTTCAGGGCTTATATTTGTCTTTCATGGCTTTTCTGTTCTGGATCCTACTGGTAAGGTCCTCAATGTCTATTTGGATGTCTTCATTTTCTCTGCACATAAATCCCATGTTGTGCAACTTCTCCCTACACATGACACCGAAAATCTTTTGATCTTCATAATCTTTGTAGAGCTTCTGGCGTTGTTCTTTCAGTGCTGCGTTCTGCTGGCTGATGGTCACTTTGGAAACTTCCATTTGCTCATTCATTTCCCGCAGAGCCTTTTCATATCGGAGATCTTTGGATATCTCCCGAATCTCTTGTCTCAGGTCGTCATTTTGCTGGCTTATCGCCTCTTTCTCTGCTTTCAGTGTGTCATACGTTTCATCCAGAGCAGTTAAATTTCTACGCTTTTCTTTGAGCTCCTGGATTTCCTCTTGTATGCTGTAATTTTGGAGCCTCATGGCCTCTGTTTCCTCCTTAATGACATTACACAATTCCTCCAAAGATGGTTCATTTTGGGGTCTTCTCCTGAGCTCCTGAATTTCTTGTCTCAACGCCTCGTTTTGCTGGCTTGCTGCTAAGAGCTCTGCTTTGACTTTATCATAGTTCTCATCAAAGGATTTATCATGTGTCTTATTGTGTAGCTCCTGACGTTCTTTTTGCAAAGCTTCATTGGCTTTCAAAATGGCTTCTTTCGCCACTTGCATAGCGTTGGACATTGCATCCAATTCTTTTTGAGTTTGGCTATTTTCATGGAGCTCTGCTAGTTGTTTTTTCTCATATTGTCTAGCGTACCTTTGCAGTTGGAGATCTATTCCTTCCAGTTGTTGAATGACTGAATCCAAGTCCACTTTGATTTCTTGGTCAGATATATCTGCTTGTTCTTGGCTGACGTCCATGCCCAGATTGTCAAAGAACTTCTCAGAAGGGACTGTTTCCTCGATGCAGCTCATTTTTCTTCTCTCTTAACGACTGTGTTAACCACCGCTTGTTTTTCTGGGCTCTGTACACGAAGCTCAGTTGTAAATGATTGATTAGACTGAGGAGCTGAAGTTTCAGAATGTGTTCACTCTGTGGCTTTGATCTTCAGAATGTGGAAGCAGGCAGTGACATCACTTTCCCCTCAGAACGGTGTTTATGACATCATCAACATTATGACATCGTCTAAATTCTGATCGATAAAGTACAGGAAGTGAGGGAACCTTTCACACAGCATGGTGTTTATGAAATGGTAAAAAGACAGAGGATCAAGTCTGAATCTACACATTTTTATACACAGAACATATCTTCCTGTTGTCTACGTCTTCTCGCATAAGAAGCAATCAATCGCTCCCAAAATCTGGGAGCAATACTGTTTTTCCACTGTTTGGACACAAACATCCTCTTGCATTAACCCTTTCTGGTCTGCCCTGTCCAAACCTGGGCCAACGTCCCAGAGAAGTTCACACATCCTAGCAACTTTTTGATGCAGCTGATAACATTAATATCTTGCAAGTATTGATTTATAATTTACTGGGGCTATGCTGAAGTTTGTCTGCAGAGGAGATGCTGGATCATCAGCCAGCACACAGCTGAAACACAGAAGGTTTTAGAAAGTCACACAGACCCAGGTGAAATACAGGCAGCCTCAGCCAGTAAAAGCACAGCCAGAGATGTACAGGCAGCATCAGATACAAGCAGCTCAGACCCTAATGGAGGACTGAGGTAATGCTTAGCAAGGGAAGCTGGTGAGGCACATACTGACACATTTCATAAATCAAAAATTTAATGAGGGGATCTGTGCCCCAGTAGAGCTTTATGTCAAGCAACGCCCCTGAGCAAAACCACATAAACTCAATAATATCTCTGGAAAAATAAATAATATTCCTGACATGAAAGTAACGAGTGAAGGAGATATGACCCTAGTAGGTTTCAGGAAAAGGTCTAAAATGTTAAACTAATGCGACTCTGTGATGTGTATTAGGACCCAAAAGAATAAACACACAATTTAGTTTCTTTATTTAGATTTTCAATTAGACATTTAATCATTCAAATCCAAATATACTTTATGTCAGAGTCACAATGTGATATATGAAATCATGATCACAATGATGCAGACTGTAGACACACAAACAACACACACACACACACACACACACACACACACACACACACCCTCTGTCTATAGATTTTTTTGTCTCACTCATGACCAGCCTCAGGCCCGTTCAGGTTCCTGTGTGAAACTTTATACAAAGACAATATTTAGTTTTCATTGAAATTACGTAGGTTTGCGTATTTTGACTCTAATATCCTGTCTTGAACTTTCCTCACGTGGACTTAAAGGCTACGTTCACACTGCAGACCTTTTAGTTTACACGTGGCCCATATCAGACTGAAGTGTGAACTGGCCCCGGCCTGCAAGTGACCCGCATGCGCAGAAGAATAAAAGGACGTCATACGCAGCACGCTGTCGTACAGAAGGAAACGAGGAGCCATAGAGGTTAGCTCCGGTTCGCTCATACTTGCTAACCCTCGTGATTTTCACAGGAGACTCCCGTGTTTCATTGCCCTCTCCCGGTTTCTCCAGGGCCGGGCTGTTTCAAGGCACTTTGGGGGCCCCAGGCAAAAGGGATCTGGAGGGCCCTATATCGAACTAAGCTGAACGCCCCAACCCTTCAGGAATCTCATAGACACAAAATTCCAATCTTCAAACTTATTTTTATCTTTACTACCAGATAAGTTTTAGAAAGTGCATACACATACATTATAGTACATTTTAAATACAAACCCCCTACTATACTACAACTCACCATTACTACAGCTGTATGAAACCAATGTAAACATTTTGCTGGGATTTAATTGCAGTAAACGGATCAAACTGATGCTGAAATAACACAATATGATGCAGATTTGTTAAACATATGAATTCATGCTTTGTCAGGTCTGTCAGCAAGTCAGCAGGACAACAACTTCTAAAAGGTTTGTTTTCTGAATGGAGTTTGGATCGATCAGGGCTATGCTACGCTAACTTGTTCACAGTAAAGTACAACGATAGCTGGAATAAAGTTACAGACACATATTTTCTGAACTCACCAGGTAGTTCAACTTCCTCGCTTTCTTTCTCCAAGTAATGCAGTGTTTTCTGTTTTTTATATAAATATGAAGTATTAGTCCAACAGAGCTCTGGGTGCCAACCGACGCTAACAACATTTACATTTATTCATTTATTTTAGCTTTTATCCAAAGCGACTTACAATTGCTATATATGTCAGAGGTCGCACGCCTCTGGAGCAACGAGAAGTGTCTTGCTCAGGGACACAATGGTGGATGGGTCACAGTGGGGGATTGAACCAAAGGCAAGTGTCTTAGCCACTGCTCCATCACCCCTTCTAACAACAACAGTGAAACCGATGTGCACGGAAGCTAGCTGCTGAGAAGCTCCAGTGAAGATAAATCAATGTTTCCATCCGCAAAACTAAAGTGAAAAGCTAATTTAATAAAGCAGTTTACTCCGAGCTCCTCCCACGGGTAAACGGCGTAGTTGTCAGAGTGTAATCCAAACCGACCGCAGTGTTTATTTGTCCAAAAGCTGCAGCGCTGCTCTCTGCTCTGTCCTCAACTTCTCCAAGTGTAGCAGCTCTCCGCCGGCCAGCGGCATTTCAATCCCCCGCTCTGCCCGGCCCTCTCCACACAACGCTCTGAAGCCATCGGTGATGTCAGGATGATCTCAACGCTGATAGGCTACAGCGACTTAGCGTCATGCGACTTTCTCGCTTGAGTTGAAAATGCACGCAAAGGCCTTCTCCTTGCCGGCAGCGCCCTCTTCGCACCGCCCGACAGGAAATCGTGGCGCTATGTGTCTTTGCATTGACTTTGTATGTAAACGCAGCGCCCACAACGCTCACTTTGCTTTTGGTCTGTAAGCACCTTTACAAAGTTACAATCTCCTTGTTTGTTTAACGTAATGTCTGCAGTCTGTAGATGAGGATGAATCAAGTTCACCAGTTCATGGGTGCCACAAACAGGAGTCACCAAGTATTGTAGAAAGTCAGACCCACACAATGCTGAACCAGAACCAAAGACACTATCATAAAATACAGTCTGCATTATCATCTCTAATTCATAATTCTTATCATTTCAAGTTTTAACTTTCAACTTACTCTTTTCTTAGCAAACATCTCATTTCCTCTAGCTCATGTTAACTGTGAATGAAATGTAATCTGCGTTCAATAAAGTAGTAGTCATACATGTGAAACAACAAACCTGGATTTGAACATTTTTCAGTTACCTAGCCAGGTAAAACTCCCAAATTCCAGAGTGAAAACAAATGGCGTGCTTATTGTAAAACACAGGCGAGCCAACACTAGACAAAAAGGAATACACACACTTAAATACCCAAGAGAGGTGGAGGAAACGAGACACAGGTGGAAACAAAAATCAACTCAAGGACAGGAAGTGAACTGACAAAGACCCACGAGGAAGGATTTAACAAAAGAAAACAGGAAATCACCAAACTCACAACCAAAACCAGGACATCCAGGGGTTAAAGTAGTTTTCATCAGAATTTGATAAACGCCTGTTTGTCTCATGTCCACATTCTCACCAAAACACTTCCTATTCAGCTCAGTCAGGAGAGACTTAAATGAAAAAGAGGCTTAAAGAGGAATTAAAAGGAAAAGGAACAGGAGAGTTTAAGAAATGTGAGAGGGATGTATGGCCTACCTGGTGGAGGGGCTGTGACCACAGAGGCCAGAACCAGAATGGATGTGAAGGGCTCAGTGGGATCACTGAAGACTGCTTGATCCACCAGCTGCTGGAGCGAGAGAGGGAGGGAGGCCTGGAGCTGGAGTGATGCTGCAGTCTTTTATCTGGTCGGGGTCCTCCAGGAGAGAAAAGACAGTTTGAAAGTCTGACAGCAACAAATGATTGGCTCACAGAGGTTGTGGCAAATTCTGATTGGTTTAACTGAAAGAATGAACGCCCTCAATCTAATGACGGAGTTGGAAGCAGAAAAAAGGAAGAGAGGGGGCGGGGGAGAAATAGAGTCAGCATGAACGATGTCTTCCTGATTCAACTTCTGCTGAGTTTCCTTAATCTTAAAAAAAAGAGCTGCAAAGATAAAATGAGGAACCAGCAGATCTCAGAGCAGTAAAATATCATCTTATCTGTGTTCTTCAGCAGCTGCTACAGTATCACCATATTGCACCATGGACATCAGGAGTCAGATTCTGGTGGGAGAGGAGTTTGACTCTTCACCTGTCTGTTCATGTGTGCTGTCAAACATCACCATGGATCCTGTCTGTTTTCTAATAAACACTATCTGAAGAAAACAAGTTGCATCATTGCAAACATTATTTTAACTAACAATCTTCACACCTTCAGCTTCCTCTTCTTCTTCTTTTCGCTTGGTGAAACACGTCATTGTCACAAATAGACTGAATGAACAAAGTGTGAACTCTGATGGCTGCATCTCATGTTGCTGATCAAGAATTTGGGGTCTCTGTCAGTCACTGTGGATGAGAGAAAACTACATTTCAAAATGTAAAATTGTAACAGAGTTTTTGGCTGTTTGGACATCGATAAGAAATTCAGAGAGACTGAAATCTAAAACAGACTAAAAGTCACTATGAGGAAGTGACATCATCCTAACCACAGGAAGTAGCTGCAGCGTCTCTCTACTAAAGCACTAGTTTAGAAACTCAGACAGTTCTGAGCACGAGAACAAGAGACAGAAGAAAGAGACTCAGAGAATCATGATGGTTGAGTTCAAATGGATTTCTTTATTTCTTCCAGCGGTGCTTCAGTTTACAGGTAAGAATACATATATCACATATATAAATGGAAGGCACATTGTAAAAAATAACTTGATCAATATTATTAAAGATTCTTTATTAGCTACATTTTTTAACTAAGAAAACCAAATCTGTTGTTTCTAATGTGGTGAGTTTAGTGAACTCTTGGAAACTAAGGATAAAGAAATAATCGTCACTAACTATGAACATAACAGACATTTTCTCATTTCACTTTATTTTTCATCATTTTCTCAACAGCAGCAGCTGAAAAACTTCCCCCTCCTTCACTGTCAGAGTTGGAGATGACGTCACTTTGCCTTGTGAAAATGTGATAGACGGTCAGCAAAATGTGAAATACTACATGGCTCTTTTGGTTCAGGAAACACAGCAGCAGTAAGCTGTTAACTTGGGCAGATTGTTGAAAACACCAAAGCTAAATCAGACAGACTGAGTGTTACAGAGAACTGTTCTCTGGTTATAAAGAAGGTCACAGTCGAGGATGTTGGTCGTTACACTGTCAACAGTTCAATCAGGACAACAAGCTCCAGACTCTCATGTTTATCTGTCTGTTATTACCAGTGAGTATTTCCATCATAATGTTTTCAGCTCAAACTGTCTTGTTAGAACAATATACTGAAACATTACAATAATTATGATCACAGTGATGAAGTTAACTTTACTCTTGTTGTCTTTCTCTCACAATATCTCCATCTTCACCAGTGACTGAACGTAAGGACGCTGATAAGGTGACGTTGCTCTGTGTTGAAATGAACAGTTCTGTAGACACACAGTGAAGTGGCTGTATGAGGGTAAAGATGTGGACAAAGATAACAAAGACATGAAGACATCACAGTCTGTCTGCTACGCCGCTGTGTCTTTCCTGGATTTCATTTTAGTTACAAATCAAAGTCTAACTTGAAGTGTGAAGTGACAGATGGTTACTCTGGAAAAGTGCAGCTGTTCACCTTCAGCCCTCAGTCCTCAGGTGAGAAAACAGGTGAGAATATGCTGAGCTGGTGTGCGTTTCCCGAACAACCACGTAAGGTAACGTTGAACTATGTTGGTACGATGCATCGTTACACAAACAAACATCTGAAATACGACCGTTTCCCTAAACTGTCATACTTTGAACTAATTAGTTTGAGCCAACGTAGGTCGAACTAACATGTTTCCAGGTGTGTTCGTCTGACTTTCACAGCACGAAACTCACAAAACGTCATATTCTGCCTAAATATGTCAGTTGTGACCGATATTAAGTGACATTATTTTGCTAACTTATTATTTAGGCTTTTATATTATTGTCGTACCGGCAACAACAAGAAAATCAACAATAGCGTTAATGAAATCAACAATAAATATATATAACCTAATCATTTTATTTAGCCTAAATATCGGCTATAATTAGAAGAAAAAATGAAGACTATTAGCGATTCAAGACATTTAGTGAAATAGGTTTAGTATCTTTGTGTCAACACTGTAACACTATTATGAATCTCTTGGCATCTGACATCTAGGTTTTGAGAACAGCTCAGTGCGCTAAGTGTCTGAGCTTACGCATGTTCTCTATTGAGACAGATACGACTCCCGTGAGTTCTCTATTTATCTTTGTTATAAAGGCAACGAAAACTCTCAGGGATTTATTCATTACAGTACTTTCATGGATTTTATGCTGTCCCTTTTTATGTTTGTAATGAAGACTAGAGAACACCCATCTTCCCCAGAGGCCCAGAAACGTATACATGTAGGTAATATTAAAAGTCTTGTCTTTACATTCTCCGTTTTGTCCTTTAACCTTTGTACTGGGTGACTAATATTAAATTAAGTTATTGTGAGCAGACGGGTAATCTGTGAGAAAACACCTGCTGTTTGTAGATGGTCTACACTGAGATACTTAGCCTACTGAATCAATGCAACCCTACCCATGACCCCACAAATACATTTAAAAGTACTTTTAAAACTAATTTATTTTAAATCACCTTAAATGTTTGTACAGCAGGATTATCTAACATTCCCTGCTTAAAACACATCACATCCACCTCCTAACACTGCATTTTCTGCTCTCTGTGACGTAGTCACCGTGAACTAAGCTTCTAACCACAGGTCAGGAGCTGTAGTTCCAACTATGCAACTTAACAACAGTTGGTGCGAACGTTCGTCTGAACTATGGTTTCAGGGAACACCTGCGTCGCTTAACGATGGTTCGTACCGTGTAAGTTACCAACTTAGTTACCTCCGTAGTTCCAACTAGGGTTTTAGGAAACAGTTGCGTCGCAACTGCAAAGTTCCAACCAAGGAAGTTGCTACCGCAGTCAGCAACGATGCTTTTGGGAAACACACCCCTGTTCAAGATGATTAAAACCACCAAAACATTTGTTTATTTGATGACTTTTCACAGTGATGAACTTTACTCTTGTTTTCTTTCTCTCGCAATATCTCTGACATCTAAACCAGCAACAACAACAACAACTAAACCAGCAACAACAACAACAACTAAACCAGCAACAACAACAACAACAACAACTAAACCAGCAACAACTAAACCAGCAACAACAACTGAAACACAAAATCAACAACCATGATGCTTCAACAAAACTACAAGGTAGTAACTCATCTTTCTCTGGAGTCTCTCTGTCTTCCTGTCAGCCTCTTTCTCTTCCTGTACTGTTGATGCTTCGATGGGCGGAGTCTGATTCAACTGTCAAACTTTCGGATCAGTTATCACCATTGATAAACACACATAGAATATTATATTTTTTAAATAGTACTTGAAATAGACCCGCAAGGAACCGCAACGTGCATGCATTTGTAGGCCGCACGGCACGCATGAAAAACTGCAAAAGACCGGTGAAAGGCCGGCGAGCAGAGCTGAGAGGAAATGATCAACAGCAAGCCTCAGTTTATCTGTAACGTTAAATGTACAATGTAAGTTACACTGACTAATGATAGAGGCTGCAATCCCCCACAATCGCCGTGCACAAACACACACTGATTCCACTATCAGTCGACTTTGGGCAAGACTTGACAATTCTGATTGGACCATGTCAATCGTTAGTTGGGGACAGCCCTAAATTCATTATTGATTCTCTCTCTCTCAATTTTCAAATTTCAATTTTCAGTTTCAAACTGGCTTGATTGGCATGAAAGAATAATGTTCATATTACCAAAGCAACAGTAATACATTAAAGGAAAACAAACAAAGAACCATAACAATAATAACATTGTCGCTATAGTAACGGTATGATGGTTTCATATTTGTGTTCCTCTGGTTGTCTTCAGGTTTTGACATGTACGTGTATATTTAGCTGCAATTATTTCACATCTTTGTGTTTCACCTAGTAGGTATGGAAGTTTTCCTTTATAGGTTTCAGTAATTTGTAGTTTTCTCTTAGATCTTTGTGTTTTTCACATGTGTGAGGAAGTGTTGTTCATTTTCTATTTCCTGTGATGTACAAAGTGAGCAGATCCTTTCCTCTCTAGGAAGCCAGGTTTGTCTCTGGCGGCCCGTCTCGATGGCCAGGTTCTGATCACTGAGTCTGAACGTGATTGTAGAATTTGGTAGCTCTTTATTGGATTTGGATCACTGAGTATTGGCCTAGTTCTGCTCTGCCGACGTTGTTTGGGGTTTTTTCTGTCTACATACAAAATGCTCTTACAGAATTCTGTATGAAAAGATTCAGTTGGGTGTTTCTCCCATTTTACAAACCTAGACCTGAGTGGACCCCATATTTACCTCCCATAAAGGGAAGTTGGTTCCAGGACCGATTTGAAAATCTTTAGCCAGATCTTTATTGGTATATCATGTTTTATATTTCTTCAGATGGCATAGAAAGCTCTCCTTGCTTTGTCCCACAGATCTTTCACAGCCATGTTGAAGTTTCCTGTTGTGCTCATGAGCCCAGATATGTGTAATTTTATAGATGTTGTGTCTAAATATAATTTGTGCTTGTTTTCTTGATGTCTGCATCGTTTTTGGAAGACCATGATCTTTTTTTTAGGTTTACTGTCAGGGCCCAGGTGAGACAGAATTCATGCAGCTGCTGGAGTCTTAGGACTTACTGTAGTCATCTGCAAATAGAAGGCATTTAATC